TTATTTGTATTATTTTATTATTTCCCTTCTACGTGACTTTACCGAAAGAACCAAGAAGATGCATCCCTGCAGTCACGAAAGCTTTAAATCGAAACATTGTATTATATTAGAATAGATGCGCTTCTGCGGCCGTCTGGAATGCTCTTCCTTCCGTTATTAGGAAGCCACTTAGAGCTATGCGCGTTTAAATCTACATTGAAAACTCATTTATTTGAAACAGTTTTTTGTGTTTAGTTTGTTGTCCTTCCCCCACACCTCGGAATAGCGTGGTTGGCTTCGTACGGTGTGGAAGAAGTTCAACAAACATACTGCCTCGCCTGGTATGCAGTAACGGAAATATCCCGCGACAACTATTTGATATGAGTAGGCCATTGCATGCTGGCAGTATTGGTCAACATTTGGCAAAATTCGAAAGTAACGCGTAGCAGCAATCACGGTCATCTTACTTTCAGCCAAATGTCCACTTGCAGGCCAGTGCCGAGTCACCTTTCTGCTGCACGGTGACAGCTGCCACTTGGGGTCCCCTTCGAATACTCTTAGTTTTTTCGGTAAAGTCACGTAGGTAAAAAATGAAATTAAAATTAATAAAAATAAAACAATAAAATCACGACGTTTCGGAGGCAACACAAGTCTCCCCTTCGAATGTGTTGAGATGAGACGTGAGGCTTTGAGCTGCCGAGACTTTTCAGCGCCATATAATTGCAAGGATCATTCTTGTTATTGAACTCCATGCGGCTCCTATATGTTGCTTGCATCGTGTGTGCGCTCCAGGGATACTGCACGATTGATTTTCATTGTAATCGCACCTCCGGCAGGCATGGTTGCACTGGCGATCGACATTAGGAAATTCGATCGGATCATTGGAGTTTAATAGTAATAAATCGGCATTTTGCGACCCCAACTGCCACTGTGTAGCATATTATTACGTGCCAGGGACTCTATGAGATGATAGGACAAAAGTCCGAGTTCATAATTGACAATAAGTAACGGCAAAGCAGTTATAAGTGACTCACAGAATTGTGCGCAGTTGCGTCTACAGCACACGACTTCCCTGAAGGCATCAACAGCTTCAGCGAGCGCGATGCCGATCACACGACGCGGTTCAGATTCGACCCTCGATCGATGGCTGCGCCATCGCCGCACACGCGTCGAATCAAAAGCAAGGGACAAATTCTTACTCACGAACAACTCCTCTATCTTATTCTTGGTTCTTTCGGTAAAGTCACGTAGAAGGGAAATAATAAAATAATATTAATATAAAACAATAAACATTCTCACGACGTTTCGACTGCAACACAAGCAATCATCATCAGGTGTGAAATTCACAGCAAGAATGTTTTTATTGTTTTGTGTTTATATTATTTTTTTATTTCCCTTCTACGTGACTTTACCGAAAGAACCAAGAATATGAATCCCTGCAGTCACGAAAGCTTTAAATCAAAACTCCTCTATCATTTTTCATTGCTGAAAGGGGTTGCCCCCCCCCCCTACCAAAAAATCCTGTCTCGGCCATTGCATGGTTGCTTACGAACGGTGCAAACGAGGTTGACATATTCGGAAACGCCCACACATTTCCGAGTGTCCCATCAAGACGTTTTATTGCCCAAGTTGGACGAAGCCCTCTCCACAACATATTGACCCTACTTCACCCTTGCTGGTCAGTGTGTGTCGGTGAAGAGGGTGAGCTCAGGAGCGGTCCAGATCAGGGTTCGACTTTGTTTTGTTTAGTCGGGCGAGAACTCGAAGAGAGCACGGTGAGTCTCGTTTGCAAGAGAGGCCTGGATATCACTCGCGGCTGTCATTAGTCATTGCCACGATATCGAACCCATGCTCGCCGATTTCATAGCACAGCGCACCAACCGCTGCGCCAAATCTCCAACCTCCAACTTAATTGCTTAAAACGGTATTCATGGCATATTTGTATCTCGTAAGCTACAATGTCTTTCCATTGCATGGAGTGGATAATTGGAACATTAATTACACGTTGATGGTGTTTAAATGGCACGCATCCTTATCTGAATGAGGCCAAAGACATCGCCATTGTTTATGTTTACACTGTGATCTGTTGCGGACGTAACAGTTAATATCAAAATCGTTCGGAATCAAACACGTGGAGCGCTATACACGTGTCACCGTCGATGATCACTCACTAGGTCTGTCAAGTAGCGTCCCTCATCCGAGCTGTCACGAGTTTATTTGCGGCATTCACGTGCTCTGTCGAGGGTGAATCTGGACTCAAGGGAGGGATTTTCCAAGCTGAATTGCTATTGACCACCCACCCCCTCCTCCGCTACGTAAAGGTGCTGATAGTCATACTCTTAGTTTTCTCGATAAAGTCACGTAGGTAAAATATGAAATTAAAATTATAAAAGTAATAATAGAAATAATAACAAATCACGACGTTTCGGAGGCAACACATGTCTACGTTATCAGGTGGGACCGTCACAGCCAGATTTGCTGTATCAAGTGAGGCAGGGATTTCAATATGCAAGTTCTTAAATACAAGTTAAGGTGGAGGAGGGGCGGGGGAGCTTATCAGAATATGGTAGCCAATGATAGTCCTCGACTTACTTACCGGTTGGTTTAACGATCTGGTCGGGACCGGCATATTGTGTTCGTAAGTCGAGGAATGCAATTCCAGGATAAAAAGCTGCAAGCCTCGCTACTTTTGCCCATGCCACCGCTGGTGGAAGGGCGACCGCCGCAGAGGGAGCCGCCTGCAGATGGCACTCTTTGGCCTACTCTTCCAAGCTGGTCCAGACGTCTCGAGATGAGTTAGGAGTTACCCACGCCTTGCCCCACCGGCGTTCCCGTCGATACTGCTGGGCGATGGGCAGAGGTCTACGGATGTGGTACGGTCTATTCACGTGACGTTGGTCTGTTACAGCGTTCACAGGTGCTGTTTGTCCGCTGGTCCCTTCACGTTTTTGCCCTGGGCCCAGCTACTGTGTTTTAAATACTAAATAATAATTAAATGCCGCTTTGCGTTCGTAGCACTGCGCGTCAATCGCTGCACCGCCACTCCCACCCCGCAATTAATGTCACCGAGATAAGATGTTGCATACACAAAACCTGCAATCACCAGCAACAGCAGCAGCAGTACGATTTACATGATCACTGATACAGCCGTTAAACACCTGCAGTAGAGATGGACCAGGGCACTATAAAAGTAACAAAGTGCACATAAGCCTGACGATATGAACAAATATATCCTCGTGTTTTACGATCAGGCATTCTCTTGCACGAGTCATCTCGGCCAGGCAGAAGACCAATGTCATAGTGTTACATAAGCAGAGACCAGTGTGCCTTGAAGCCAACAGCCATGAAGAGCCCAGATTGCATTTATACAACAGCATTGGAATATGCTCAAATCACTACTTGCCAGTCTATATAAAAATCCTTGCTGGAAACATTAAATCAAAGGGCTTTACAAAGTATGATTATCTTCTTGGTTCTTTCGGTAAAGTCACGTAGAAGGGAAGTAATAAAATAATAAAAATAAAACATAATTTTTTATTACTTCCCTTCTACGTGACTTTACCGAAAGAACCAAGAAGATGAATCCCTGCAGTCACGAAAGCTTTAAATCGAAATTTAAAGTATGATTATTTAACTTTTTAAATAATATTGTTTATCTTCTTGGTTATTTCGGTAAAGTCACGTAGAATGGAAATAATAAAATAATAAAAATAAACCAATAAAATTATTATCACGACGTTTCGGCCACAACGCAAGCAGCCGTCCTCAGGTGAAGAACAGGTCATTCAGACTCTGTCTTCTCGACAGTCACGTTTCGACTGCAACACAAGCGATCATCATCAGGTGTGAAATCCACAGCAAGAAAAAAAGGTGAAGATGTTATGGTGGGCTGCTGTAAACCAGTGACCGTTTTTTGACCGGTTTTCTTTTCATTCAGTTATTGATAATGGGAAATTAAAACTATTTTAACAAACCCATGTAACCACAAACGAATTTTAGATAAACAATGCATATGCACGGATTATGTAATAACACATTTCACCCTGCTGCAATCCCTCTGTAGTATCTAGCAGTGTGGAAGATGACGGGTATCTAAACTAGGTAAGGCCCACTGAGCTGTTTAGCTCTTTTTCAGAAGCGACCTGACCATCGCAAATGATAGATAGCTCAACGCAGTGACGTGTCATGTGGAAATTCATAGCAGCCAAATACTCTAGGTGCATGTTTGTAAATGCGGAGAGAAAAACCAGAGGACCCGTAGAAAAATCCACGCCACCACGGGGAGAACATGCAAACTCTAAATTTACAGCAGGCGTCAGGGTCGGGATCGAACCCACGACCTCCTGCATACCAGGCGAGGTAGTTAACATCTCGCCACCACGGCAAAATTCCTTTGCATATTTGCTCGTACCATAGTCCTTAATTTTCTCTATTTGTACCCCCCCCCCCCACCCGACTCATGGACTAATGGAAGCATAAAGACCTTGAATAAGATTTTAAAAGTCTTACAAATACTCTGTTCTAATGCATTGTTTGTATTGATTGTGCCCCTTGTGACTTTGTAACAAAGGGGGCACACGCCCTCGATTTGAAGCTTTCGTGACTGCAAGGATTCATATTCTTAGGTTTATTCGGTAAAGTCACGTAGGTAAAAAATGAAAATTAATTAAAGTAAAATAAAAATCACGACGTTTCGGAGGCAGAAGCATGTGTTGCCTCCAAAACGTCGTGATTTTTATTTTTATTTTACTTTTATTAATTTTAATTTTAATTTTTTACCTACGTGACTTTACCGAAAAAACCTAAGAATAGGCACACGCCCTGTTTGCCCACCCCTAAGGCTAGGCTTGCTTGTCTCTTGCGTCCTCTCGGATCCTTGGATCATATCTCGAAAAAAAAATATCACAAAAACGTGTAATCCCACGTGTGCAAAAGCGTTGATCTTCTCAGAAGTTTCCGCGTGTCGCCGCAGTTGAGATCGAGTAATTCCACAAATTTGAGGCTTTCATTTGTTTTTTATTTGCACCAATGTGCAGCTTGTATCGGCACCGATACCGTATTTAATTCACGTAACACATTTGTGATTGACACTTACTATTTTACAAAAGACATCTAAAATAAACGCGTTTTTTTTCCATACAAATCACTCTTCTCAAAATACATTTGCCACACAAACGAATGCAGAAACACAGCGGCAGTCAAGTGTATAGAAATAGACAGTCTTACGCTCAAAATTCGCTTTGCACGATGTACAACCGCTTTTCAGAGATAACCATTGCACTATCGTCATGATTAACCTGATCCAATGGAATGTTCAAACAGATTTGCTTGTGTTTTTTTGCAAATCAGGTTACATAACACCTTCTAGTACTGCTTATACAAGTGACAATAAAGCTTTGGCAATTTTTAAATGTTAACATTACACTCCTTGAGTGGATTACACACGTGATGACATTCGAAGACGAAAGAGTGATATAACACAATTCCAAGACGTCACATATCCGACCGTTACATATCCTCACTGACCATTTAACTGCCCACGCCCAGTGCTGTATTTGAGCGTGGTGCAACTTGTCATTGCTTTCGGCAATTACATATCTGACTATTCCACGTATCTGCCCATACGGACACGACACTGAAGTTCCCTTGAGTGCCTTAAACATCACCGACAGGCTCACGGGAAAGCATTAGAAGACGTAAGAGAGATTTAACAATTAATTCAAAACCCTTTGGACAGGCGTGAAGAACGGCTCACAGCGTTACAGCATATATTTCACTTAGCATTCCCACCATTAGGCGAAGGGAGGAGTGTCTGGTTAGTCAATGCACGCGCACCAGCAGAGAGAAGGTTCACTATCTGAGAGCGGACCTACTACCAAACAGAATGCATCGCGGGCATTACGAATGTGGATGCTGAAAACACACTTCGCGTGAACAAAACTCCACCAAAGATCACAGTTGGAAGTCTCCGTCAAAAAGCCACAGCAAGTCACGGGACATTGAGACACAATACTCACAATGCAACGATGCAGAACTGCCACACGAATCTCATTACCGGGATGCACAAACTCGGCAGGGATAAGGCAAAAAAAACGTAACTTTGTTGTTTACCCACGGCAAACTATCGTGAAATGTCTATCCAAAGGGATGCAATTATGTTCACACTGTGCTGAAGCTAGCGTTCTGAAATACAAAACCATTTGCCAACGCTGTCAATACAACACAAGTCAGCCTGCCATCTATTACCGAGCATCAACTGCCTCTATGAAATCCAATTCGAAATTCCCGCAGTGTCGCGTATGAATTCTTAACCGTGGAGATGACTCATAAATACAATTCCATTTGCCGGGAGCAGCTTGCGACGGCAGGCGTGATGATGCCAGGGCTGGAGAGAAACACATCTCTCACTGGGACGGTAAAACAGCATGCCGAGAATATTGAAATGCTACCACCACGATCGTTGGCATCCGAACTTATGGGACGCTTAAATGGAATATTCAGAAATACATAGTGGAGGGTTTTGTTGTTGTTGTTGTCTCGAGGTATACTGAGAAGTGTGTTCTTATACAGGGCACGTTCTATGGTCGTCGAGTGGATAATAAATTCTACACTGTTTGAACTGAAAAATAAACTGTGCCTTCAACCAGTTGCAGCAGTTTTAACATTCTGAGTGATGGTATTTTAAAACTCAGAGACGCAGTCTATCAAAAGCGTTAGCATAAAATTCATTTCAAGCTTTCGTGACTGCAGGAATCCATACTCTTTGGTTCTGTCGGTAAATCACGTAGTTAGAGGCTGGTTAGAGGCTGACTCCTTTGCCTGATGACGTCTACTTGTGTTGCGATCGAAACGTCGTGATTTGTTTTATTTTATTTTATTTCTAACTACGTGACTTACCGAAAGAACCAAAGAGTATAACATTCATTTTTTCATATTTGTTTAACCAGGGACCCTACTGCGGCTGGTTGTCACGATTGTGCTGTACACAGCCCTCCGATGTGCGTCTGTCGGATCCGCTCGCGAAGCTCCTAAAGAAGCCCCCAGCACTTGCAGCGAAACGTCGGTCATCATGCAGAACAACAAGCGGCACGACCCATTAGACTCAACAGAGAGCTATTTTATGAGCGATGTTTAGCGTTGTGTTCCGAGCCCGTCAGCTTCCCCATCATGTGCATGGGTCACGGAGGGCCATATGGACTGCCTGTTCCATTTCATCAATTTGCAGCGTCTCGTTCCAAGCCCCTGTGCGCATTTGGCCTATTTGTCAAGCGCCATGTGCTCAAACTGCTGTCATAATGCTTTACTTGTTGTGTGCCAGACCTTGATATTTACAGATTGGTTGCGCAATTACGCACTGGAGCGAGCCATTCAAAAATTTTTTTTATATAATGCAAAACGTGAAATGTGTTTTTTTTTTTGGAATGTTCATCATCAGTAGTAAACACACGTTTTAATGTACAGATGTTTTTGACGTTCTAAATCAGATATTACATCCAGCGTACAATATATTACACGCGTCTATTCGTCTGAATTATAATTAAGGCCGTGCATATCCAAAAGATGAGGTCCACATACAGAACATTTTCAAAGAGATTGTTACCACCGCCCTAACGCAATTACGACGATGCAAACCAAAACACCGCCCATTATATCACTTTGTGATGCACGAAGTTTTGGCATGACATTGACATATCACACGAGTTGTGGTGATGATCATCGTTGTGTGAGTTATTTTGGTACAACGATGACAGCCCACCAGGAACACACCGAATAAGAGGGTGAGGGTGATCCCTAGCCCTGAGACCAACCTTGATGGCTATTGAAGTGCTCATTGCACGAAGAATCGGCTAAAATTGAGAACTTTGTCAATTCAACTTCTAATGCCGTGCGCATTCACAATCTGTTCAGTCGGAGCATCGGGTGAGTTGGACAGCGGATTCGCAACCACGTGGGTTTTCGCGGTCGTGCTGTGTGGCTCTCTCGTGCGTCATCGGGCTGTGCCGCGTGCTGATCCCGGCACGCAGAGTGAAACGTCGGGCATCATGCAGAACAGCATGCGGTACGGACCTGACAATACATCGGCGAGCTAAAGAGCAGGATGTGTTACCTATCTGCCAGCTGTTGACACTTTGATGTTATGCATCTCATGGACCATTCAATGGATGTGCCGGCATTTTATCGTTGCACAAACGGTGGCGCTGTGAACTCCAGAAAAAAAATACAAACTCGCAGAAATTCAACCTTCCCAGCCAAGCGCATGCCCCACTAAAACCTTGCCGACAGGTGAACTGTTGGGCGAAATGCCACTCTGGAGTAGCGAGGCATTTAACGATGGATCGATTCTTCACAATAACGATACATGCAGACGTGCATACAAACATGCGCGTGACAACCTGTCATTCACGATTGGTTGCGTGATTTTGCTCGTGCTACATTTAGAATACCGAAGCAAACAGAATTGCACAAATGAGGCGGAACAATCAAGAAGAAAATGCAAGCGAGATGGAAAAATGTGAGAAAGGAAACAATCACAACCTCGAATAACGACAATTGTCCGATTCGCTGGTGGTGGTGGTGGGGGGGTCTATCGTTACATGTCTCTCAGTAATTAAACTTTCTCAATAAATCCCTGCTCACTAATTGGCTGCCTGGTCATTTTTTTTACTAGACCCGTCCCAGCATTATTGTCTGCATGGCAACGAAAGTTGACTCGCGATTATCGGTGGGCAGATTATCCGGTTTGCAAAAGGACAGTGCTCATTTGAAAACTTTTTAACACGCGCTGTTTTTATTGTCTGCTCCTAGTCCATCGAGGGGTCGGTTACTGAGTGCCCATGTGCCCACAGAAAGGTTGGTAAGTCAATTGATTGCTTTTACAAAACAAATATTAACGGAGGGAATTGTATGTGTAGGTAAACAACACATTATTGATTTAAAGCTTTCGTGACTGCAGGGATTCATCTTCTGGTTCTTTCGGTAAAGTCACATAGAAGGGAAATAATAAAATAATTAAAATAAAACATAATACAATATGTTTTATTTTTATTATTATTATAAAATATGTTTTATTTTTATTATTTTAGAAGATGAACAAATTATTGTATAGCCTAATGACATTTTTTTTGCAATTGCCCGTGTTTTTACTTTATCCGGGGCCATCCCTCCCCTCCCATAACTTCGGATAATTGAGAGTTTCACTGAATGCTCTCGTCGATGGGCTCCGTTGCCCACACGCTACTTGAGTGACCTCTGCAGCTCGCCCTTGGGGTTGTTACCCGCTGGGCTCTTGGCAGTCACGGCAGCTGTGCATGTCCTCGGTGAACTTCTCCACCTGGATAGTGAGGATGCTGAAGGAGAAACGCGTCTGGAGGAGGACCGTCGCTTCTTTGACCACTTCTTCTCCCTTCCCGATGTCGTCTGCACACACACACGCAAAAATAATAGCGACGGACCAATGAGTTAGTCTCGTGGCAAGTTCAGTTCAACATGGGAGTATAGTTCACCACTGGAGTCCAGTTTACCATGGCCAATGAGAGTCCAGTTTACCATGGAAGTCTAATTTACTATGTGAGTCCAGTTGGCCATGGGAGTCCAGTTTACTATGGGAGTCCAGTTTATCGTGGAAGTTCAGTTGACCATGGAAATCCAGTTTACCATGAGAGTCCAATTGATCATGTGAGTCCAGGCAGTAAGCGTAGAATCAAATATGTGCAGCGGGTGGCACACCTTTAGCGCCGCAAATACGGGCCAACGGCCGATGAGTACAGATTAAAGGCAGTAAACCGTGACCGACTACAATGGATGGCCGGTGATGGGATGGAGCACTCGAAATGTGCCAGGCAAGGGGAGGATCACAACCTGATGGTGTCAAAGTTCAACCACTGGACGGGATTGGAAGCTGTCTCAGGTTGACAGATGCAGCGATGGGCGAGAGAGAAGTGGAGAGGCCACCACGAGGAGATGTATCGGTGAAGGAAAGCGTCACGCCCCAACGGCCCGAAAAGTCCAAGGGATTTGGAATGAGCTTAAAGGCTGCTCAAAAGTAAAATCAGCATCGTGGGAAAAACACAAATTTAAATGTCATTGAGAAAAAATTACATTTGTAGTCTTTCGAAGGAAAAACACGGATGGGCGTGATTGTTCCTTCTTTGTATATGAAAAATAATAATTGACATCGCAGGTCATTGCATCCCAAGAGGATTGGTGTGAACCTGACTTGAGCCTGAGATCAAAATCACCAGGAACACACCCGATCTCATCAGCCCTTACACTCCAAGCGGGCTCGATCTTGCATTGATTGTGCTTCGATGAAGGATCATTGTGCATAAGACTGATGCTTGTTTGTAGGTTGCTGCAGGGCACTTTTATCATCAGAAGGCAGTGCAGCAAAAAATATTCTTGTTCTATGCTCCAATGGCGATGCTCATCGCCTTCAACAAACCACACTGACCAGTGTGGTGAAGTATGCCCAAACACCCACATACTCTGCATGGCGTGCAGAAGCCCTCATCCAGCAGTGCATTGACACAAGGACTGTGATTGTAAATGTACAAACACGTTGCCTTTGTATATGCATGTTGAACTTCTTTCGCACCGTACGTAGCCAACCGTGCTAATCGAAGGTGTGGGGGAAGGACAACTGAGTTTTCAGTCTCGGTGATTTAAAATTGCATAGCTCCAGTGGCTTCCTAATATCGGCAGGAAGAGCGTTCCAGACGGCCGCAGAAGCGCATCTGAAAGCGCCGGGCGATGTGGTGACCGCATCCTTTGTTCGATGGCTGAACCAAAATCCGCTGTTGCTTTGAAGACGATCGGAGTTAACCATTTTCCAATTGACGAGTATCGCCAGCGACGTGTGAACTGAGAAGCCAATGGCTCCGACACAGTGTCTAATGTTACGGGCCATAGACTATTCAGATTAAATAAAAAAAAACAGTCATGCCTAAATCTTGAGTAGGTAAAAGCTGAAAGAAAAAAAAAGAAACAGGGTTGTGGACAGACACAGAGGGATTGGAGAAACTTGCACCATTGTCTGAACTGCCACACTGGGTGCCAGGAGGATTAATCGAACCGTTGCACCATATAAACAAAAACGTGAATTTCTCCAGACATTTCTATATCTCTGGTAAACCAGATTTCTACAAAAAAATTCCACGTGGATACCTGAAATGCCCCAAAAAAAATCCGAGTAGAAAATTAAGTGGCAATAGTTTAGCACAAAGTCCATGGGGTTCATTCATGACGAGGCTGGGCAATTGATTGTACTCGGAGCTGGTTGCATTTCCAGTACCCACGCCTTTAAAGTATGGCACGCTGCAACAACAACAAAATCAATATCCTGCTCACGTACACAGCAGCACGAACCCTCGCGTGCCAGCATGGGACATGGGTGGAAAAAACTAGATTTTTCCAGCGGCAGGCATCGGGTTTTTTCTTTAATACAATTAAACCCGATTTCGGGGAATTAAAACCTGGTTTAATGAATACGAAACTCTGATCCAAGGCTTAGGCTGCTTCCTCGTCGGTGCTGCTATCGTACTCGGGGCCGTCGGGCATGGGGTAGTCGTAGAATGCGGCGGGCAGGTTGGTCGTGATGAACACGAGCTTCTCCTCCACAATCGTGGGCGCCAAGTGAGTTGCTTAGCTTGGAATGGACGAAGCCCATCGTTGAGAAGTGGCGAAGTGCGGTTCTACAATTAGAACCAATCAAACCGGATTTCTCCCAATCTCAGATGATCGGGTTTAATATAAAAAGACAATTAAACCCGATTGTAAAAAAACCCGACTGTGCCACCCTTGGCATGGTGACGGCTTGTTTCTTTGTTTATTTATCCGCAGACGGCGCAGTGGCTTCCCAGTTTTCTAAAACCCCTGGGGGGGGGGGGGGGGGAACTTACCGACACAGATGTGAGCGCAGATGGCGCAGTGGTTGATGGTCAGAGACCAGAGGTGCACATCGTGCACAGAGCACACGTGGGGCAATGCAAGAAGAGCCTCCTGCACGTCGGCGAACCTCACAGCCCTCGGCGCACCTGCAAGGACATTGCACCAATCCACACAAATCACCGTTGTGTGTGTTTTTTTGTTGCTGTGATTCAGCAGCTGAATCTTAAGTGTCGGCCGTTGTCTGCGAGAAGGAATGCCTTCCGTTAATTCTAGATTTGAAGCTTTCGTGACTGCAAGGATTCATATTGTTAGGCTTTTTCGGTAAAGTCACGTAGGTAAAAAATTAATTGAAATTAATAAAAGTAAAATAAATGTAGTCTATTCATAGTCTCAATCCGCACCTTACCATAATAATGAAAAGTGAGCCGTTCCTGGCCCATCCCCCCCACCTCAACCATTATATATACGGAGTGGTATCTCTTGTAATCTCTCATTTACTTGATACAGCTGTCGGGCTGTGACGGTTCCACCTGAAGACGGAAGCTTGTGTTGCCTCCGAAACGTCGTGATTTTTACTTTTTATTTTGCTTTTATTAATTTTTATTTTTATTTTTTTTACCTACGTGACTTTACCGAAAAAACCTAAGAATATAAAAATGCCTTCCGTGTGGCGTCACATACGTTGGTCACCAAGAACATTTCCCACTTGCGTACAGCAGTAACGAAGTCGAAATTCAGTTGCAACGTGGACACACGGAATTTTACTGCAGGTTATATTTCATAGAAGGAAAATGTAATATAAATCTTGATATTTTCATCCCCAGTGCCGCTTATAAGCATTCTCTGCATACCTATAAAAGCCACGGGCCCCAATTAAATGATGTGACCATTTAGAGCCTAGTGTGTCCCTCGGTCCTAAGTATCTTCCCAGTGTACTGATTATGTGGCTCTTTATCGGGATCACGATTATGAATGAGCCGCTACCCATGCGAGGCAACAGTCATGAAATTATTTCAGGATTCAGCTCCCCGGGGTTGCAATGAATTGGCATTATTCGAGGCTCACAATTATGTATTTTAATACAAATCGATCCTTTTTTGTGTCGTTTCTACCATATCGCTCGTATTGTTTTGTCGTTGTATTTTCAGTCTCATGAGTACGGTTCCGTTAGGCTAACGTTAGCATAACATCTTGCACATAAGTCACAGCTCCATGTCAAGCCTCTGCTAGGTGAAGGTCTCTCCCGTTGTCATGCCATTAGGGGATGTTGTTTGAACATACTTCACCACCCTGGTCAGTGCGGGTGAGGAAAGTGTGCGGGACGATGGGAGGGGGGGGCAAGACAGACAGAACCGGTTCAGATGTGACTTGCCGCTGAACTTAGCCGTGGCCAAGATTCGAACTCAGGAGAGCGGATTTATCGCACAGTGCGCTCAACATTGCGTCGCAGCTCAACATTCACGTAGAATTTACAGAAGCTGTACATACCAAATTGTCAAATGAACAATTCGATATATGCGCATTACGAGCACAATAATTCATTGAAATCAATTAATTGATGCGTCGTAAAGCATATGCGGTGACGAAGAATGGATGTGTGTTGCTCGTTCCCAGTCATGTGGTGTTCATTAACGGGAAAGTAGGTGAATATATGTGTGTAAATAGCGCATAGTTTTGCACCATTTGGGGCAAAGCAGAGATGTATTGCGTTCATGCTGCAAGTACAATGAACTGAATGAAGCCAGTCATGTGTGTAATGAAGCTGCCGGTCAGACAGCCGGAGGGAGATTAACAAACGGTCGGCCCACATTGGCCAGATGAACCACGGCATGAGGTGACCAAGAAAAAAAGTGGTAATTTAAATCAGTCGGTATACAGGGTGGTTTTTTTTGGTTGGCAAAAATAATCAATTGGGCATGGAACAATGATTATCACACATAACACGTAGGCTTTCGCGACCAATATCACCCATAAGAAGTTTTTTTTTTTTTGGGTTAGATCGCGTAAATATATAAACGTGTCGTTAAACCCGCCACCACGCGACACAGCCAACTAGTGAGGGTTGTCACGTAAACAGAACGTGGCCAATTCGTCACTAGTACAGCACACCGGTGTGTTGGAGAGCCAAGCCACAACAATTCACAATCTGAGTACGACGTTTTGCCAGTAGTTACAACCAGCTTCATCAGGCGGACAGCCAGATTTGTGGCGAAGTCCTAGCTGTTGGTCACGAAAGCCGTGTTACTACGTGTTAAACAACTCGTACTACGTGTTCAACTAAATTACTCGTACTACAACAATACAGCCACACTATCTGTTGGTCGGATATAAAGTTAAATTACAATTGGGCAAAGTTTTCAAGGAAAGAGTTAAACCTGAAAACATATTGTTGTGTACAGCAGAACCTCAATCAAATTGCCCGATTCAAATGTCAGATGTGGGACTCTTGGGGCTAATTGACTGTAGTGGTGTCAATAGGGATTAAACTAAACGTTACTTAAGGGAAATGTGCAAAGTGGCAACATTTTAAATATGGATTTAAAGCTTTCGTGACTGCAGGGATTCATCTTCTTGGTTCTTTTGGTAAAGTCACGTAGAAGGGAAGTAATAAAATAATAAAAATAAAACATAATAAAATAAAATAATATAATAAAATAATATTATATTTTATTTTATTATGTTTTATTTTTATTATTTTATTACTTCCCTTCTACGTGACTTTACCGAAAGAACCAAGAAGATTTTAAATATGGTTTTACCTTTTTTTAAATAACTGTGACATTTAATATGCATTAAATATGCACATTGCAATTGCTAATTAACATATTTCAATGCATAATATGATTATCTTATAAGTAAAATAGCGACTATATTTATTAAACCTAAAATAAAAACATTATGTTCACGTAAGTTTCAATGTGTCCAGGAAGGAGAAAAATATCGCGGGGGTTATATCCACAATCGGTAAATCCGCAAACTATTTAGTTCGTGGCTTTATCATGGCGACCATGCAAATCGTAATTCTATTGCCAGTCTTCATTTCACACCATCATTGATAGTAATGCAAGGTGGGGGGAGGAGGGGTATCGCACGTCGAACATCGATGCATTCAGTTTCAATTCATTCATGACCTGAAACAGTGGGGATTGGAAGTGTCCCTTATACCCTTTAGTGATTCAGACCCCGTAATAGGGTATTACATGGCCCAATGAGCACATGTGAATTACGCTTCCACAGCAGCAGCTGGATAGCCTATATAGCACAGTAAAGCGTGACAGGCCATGAAGCACTTCATTAAATTGCAGCAGTTCAGATTAATATTTATTGTTCTATTTTATGCTCGAATGAAACTGGAATGCAGAATGGGAATTAATAATAAAAAATACGCGCAAAGTGATGTTCTCCGTAACGCATCGCGCACAAACTTTAAAACAGATGTTTGTTATTGGGTGCCTACATTCTCATACAAGACTACCTGCACAATCACTTAAAATCATTCCACTGTATGTTGATTAACCGTGAATAACCCAACCAATAATAGGTACGGAATATTAACAGATTAACATGATCCGTTGCAATTTATATGACTACATTACCCCCCCCTCTGCTCTTCACACCTTATAGGCTTGCAGTGATGACATTACATTTACTCTGAGATTTATTACCTAAACAGGAAGACTTATTAATATTTCTGGATAAATCGCCTGATGATGCTGGTTGTTGTAATCACCAGCGAAAGGTCGTACTCATATTGTGAATGTTGTTTAATTTTCTCTCCAACACACAGGTGGGCTGATGTAGTAGCTAATTGGCACATTTTGTTGATGAGACAAACCTTACTAATTGGCTGCGTCAGGTGGTGGCGGGTTTAGCGACACATCAATAAGTACGCGACCTATCCCAGAAAGAACCTTTATTTCTAGATTTGAAGCTTTCGTGACTGCAAGGATTCATATTCTTAGGTTTTTTCGGTAAAGTCGGAAGCTTGTGTTGCCTCCGAAACGTCGTGATTTTAATTTTATTTTTATTTTACTTTTATTAATTTAAATTTTTTACCTACGTGACTTTACCGAAAAAACCTAAGTATTAAAACCTTTATTATTAGGAAAACCTAAACAATTCATCATAAAACCTAAATAATAAAACAAGATTTTCCATGTGCTCATTCTAAATCCCCGTTACACACTCTACCTCCTCCTTCTCATCTCACTCTATCCCACTCACCCCACTCACCACTCCAGCAACAAAGACTTTCTGCACTTTCCCAGGCAACCTTCATACAGAGGGAGGTCGCTTGTTCTCCTCTGCTGTCTCCACTGTCTGGAACTCCCTTCCTCCAGTCGTCTGCGCTGTCAACCCCCTGCCTCTGATCAATTCAAACTCAAGACTGCCTATGACTGCCTGCCGCCGTGTCTACAAAACAAATGATCCTACTGTTTCTGTACAGCGCTTTACGAAACGGTCACAAGTCAATGGTATATAAATCCACATTACTTTGTGATTGAATTGAATCTCAACACTTCTTCACGATGGAATTTGTCCAATTCCCCCCCCCCCCCCCCCATTTCATGGCTTTACACCTTTGACTGATGCTAAGTGTCTGAACAAAAATAAATCTTCTGTCTTTGCTGGAAGTTCACGTCTTAAATATAGTGGGGTTAATGGTGCGTTTCAAAGTAATTTGTATTTACACTCTAAGAATCTGATGAGTTGCGAAGCTCTTTGTCACAGAATACCTGCTATGCAGACAACTATTTAAAGCAATGTTTATTTTACTCTTTGGTTCTTTCGGTAAAGTCACGTAGAAAGAAAATAAATTAAGTAATAGAATACGACGTTTCCATTGCAACACAAGCAAACGTCATCAGGTAGAACTAAATTTGAGAGAGAGACAAAACGCAGACACGGAGACACACAGACAGATACACAAGCAGAGAGAGACAACACAGAGACACACAGAGAGAGACACACACAACATAGACACAAGGAGACCCAATGCCTCTGTGTCGAGGCCTTAAATAGAGAGAGAGGGGGTAAGGTCCACTGAGCCTTATAGCTCTTTTTCAGATGCGACCTGGCCACAAATGATAGCTCAACGAGGTAGCTTATCATGTGGAATGTTTATGTAAACATATATAAACGCATGTTTCTGAATGTGGAGGGGAAAACTGGAGGACCCGGAGAAAAATCCACGCGACCACAGGGAGAGAAAAACACGCAAACTTCAAATACACAGGCATCGGGGTCGGGGATTGAACCCACGACCTCCTGTATACCATGCAAGGTAGTCAACATCTCCCAGTCACCGTTGCACCCTCTGTGAGGTGAAACGGCCCTTGCTGGTGGTATAGCGTGTGTGGAGCCTGCGCCATGAGCTCCCACGACTGCCTGTGTACCGGGCGAGGTCGTTAACATCTCGCAGTGTGCGTGGAGCAGAGGTCGCAAACGGGTTTTGATTCCTTACCCGTACCCGTACCCGGCCGCACCAGGGTCGCAAACGGGTACCCGTACCCGTACCCGGCCGTACCCGTACCCTACCCGTACCCGGCCGGGTATCGGGTAGGGTACGGGTATCAGGTACCTGATTGCGACCTCTGGGATGAAGCCATGTTGCAGGCGCGGGTGGGTTGATTCTAGGCACTTTAATTGTGAGAAGAGACAAGACGTTGGGAAATGAATGACAAACAGTTACCCACGAGTGACTCACGGTCTACCCGTACCCGTACCTGGCCGCACCAGGGTCGCAAACGGGTACCCGTACCCGGCCGGGTACGGGTAGCCGGGTATCGGGTAGGGTACGGGTATCGGGTACCCGGTTGCGACCTCTGGCGTAGAGCCTGCACCATGAGCTCCCACGACCGCCTGTGTACCGGGCGAGGTCGTTAAGATCTGGCAGTGTGCGTGGAGATTGCCCACCTTCCATGAGCACGAGGAGGACGTCTCGCAAAATGGTGACCGTCGTGAAGAGGACAAAGAATGAGAATACGAAGGTGCATATGGGATCCGCAATCTTGTATTCAGGCTGGAGAGCAAAGAACAGATGGCATAGATGGGTTAACGTACCATGCAATTATTCCGTGCAATTTTACGGGAATTTTAAATACATTAACAATGTAAATGTATTTTTAATACATTTTCGGTAAAAACTAGCGATTTAAATGTAAATTGCAATTATTGTTTATTTTCTCTATCTAATGTCTAATAAGCATACCCCAGTAAACATACAACGTTGCCCCAACGTTCGCAAATGTATAATGGGAAAATACGTACGGAAAGGACGTATAAACACGTCTCATAGGTAAGTATTTTTAATTATTTTATTTTGTTATTATTTAACCACACCATCAGCATTCGCGAGGTAAGGTCCAATCACATCCAAGACACGCATGGCGTAGGGAGGCCCTCATCCAACAGTGGACGGACTAAGAGCTGTGTGTACGTTGAACTTCTTTCACACCTTACATAGCCAACCGTGCTAATCAGAGGTTGCGGGGGGGGGTAAGGACAACAAACTGAACGCAACAAGCAGTTCGAACAAAAATAGAGTTTCCCATCTCGTTTCAAGTTTTCAAGTTTCATTTATTAGGTATAGCCCTGTGAGCCATTCGGCTCTTGAATCGGGTTGCAACCGCAACAAACAAAAAAACATGAACAAGAAAACATCTTAAAGTGACTATGTGCAAACATAAAATCCAAAAAAAGACAGCAAAATATTGCAGAAAAGCACCGTACACCAACACTGTGTACAAAAATCCCAGTGGGATGCAAGTCAAACAACAACAACCACAAGACAACTTAGATCAAGGCAATCAGTCTAACTCTGTACTACAACAAACAAACAAACATGGCCAAACCGAAAAACTTTTCAAAAACCACCAAAATAAAGCCATGAAAGCAATGAAACAGTGCACCTCCAGCCGCTGTCGTTGCGCCCACGTCAGCATTGCACTCGCGGAAAAGAAACCGCGTCCCTGCGTGGACGCACCTCTGCGTAGATGACGCACGCGGCGATGAGCACGCCGATGCTCTGCAGGAGGTCCCCGATGACGTGGATGAAGGCGGCTCGGACGCTGGGGTTCGCCTGCGGGCCCGGCATGGGGCCTTCCGCCATCGTCGTCGGCTTGGGCTCCGTGGCGTCGGCCGTCGCGCCCCCGTGACTGTGCAGGTGGTTCGCCTGGTAGAGCGTGAAGCTCATTCTGTGCAACACCACCGACACCACCACCACCACCATTCGGCAGAAGAAATGTAAAAAATGTAAATCAGTCATCGGCCAATGCGTTTTTCCTATGCAGTGGAGACTTGACTGCAGAGGTCGCAACCGGGTACCCGATACCCGTACCCTAGCCGATACCCGGCTACCCGTACCCGGCCGGGTACAGGTACGGGTAGCCGTTTGCGACCCTGGCGCGGCCGGGTACGGGTACGGGTAAGGAATCAAAACCCGTTTGCGACCTCTGCTTGACTGAGCCAACAATACTCTTTGGTTCTTTCGGTAAAGTCACGTGAGTATAAAATAAAATAAATCACGAGGTTTTGGGTGCAACAGTCTGCCTCAGCAGCAGACCATGCTTTCTCACCTGATGACGTACGCTTGTGTTGCGTCCAAAACGTCGTGATTTATTTTATTTTATACCTACGTGACTTTACCGAAAGAACCAAAGAGTATGGATGGATTGCTGCAGTCACGAAAGCTTCAAATCAAGATTAAGCCAACGATGATTGAGACTAGGTTCTCAAGAAAGCTGTCTCTGGTGTGGGCCAATCAGTTTCAAAGACGATGCATATATTGCAAGAGCATGTTTTTTTAGTTTGCATGTTCACCACAAGTATGTGTGTGGTTAATGCAGATAGGATTCCTTGCGAAAGATTTCAGTTTGGCGTTTTAACATCTTAACACCTGTTTCATTTCCAAAAATGGTAAAACCTATTCTTATACCAACGATGATATTTGGGGTCGAACGTTAACAGGCACTTACCGTGTGGTTTTGGTGTTTGTGAAACGTTTTTTGGGGGAAATTTGGGTCCGTACAGATTCATACGGATTGCTGCTGCGGTGAGAAATGGTTCACGCACTGAATTTAAAATCGACAGGTCACTGTATGGATCTACATGTTGTTTCACTGCCCTTCACCTCGCCTGTGAGTGCAGGTTGGTCAAGGGATGGGTCTAGGGCTGATTCCGATTCCCATTAGCAACCGAAGTTGACCCTTGCCGGAAACTGAACTCAGGAGAATCGGAGTCGTTGCACCGTGCGATGATCACTGAACTGCCACTCCACTGCAAATAATATCGTGCATGTTTTGGTTATTTAAACACATTATTTGTTGACAGCGCTGTTGACAGTGCTGCACAATTACAGATGACAAAAAGCTCCACGTATTCGTCAGTAACACTGCTCTTAAGAGGAAAACACATCATTGGCGACGCTTCAGGAAATGGCCCTTCTTCATAGCACTTTCAAAATATGGCCCTCCTATAAAGAAGGTCCAATTCCCAAAACATTGCCGACTACACAATGTCGTACGTTATTATACAGATCCACAATGCAACATTTCCTCAACGTTTGTTGAACTATTGGTGATATTAACTAAACACAGTTTTAACCAGTACGGTTTTTGCAGTGTCTGCGTAGATCACAATTCAACATCGCATTTGTAGGTCTTTAATTCCTTGCCGTGGTGTAAGGAATGAAAAGGGGGGTCCCTGTCCACATATTGGACATCTGTAAAAAAAGAGCTTCCTGTATAAATAAAGATTCTGATTCGTATTCAATTCCCACCCCACCCTCACTTCTTAGCCCAGAAGATGGGCACCCTCTGATCCATGGGTTTCAGTGCAGTTGTACCGCCTGCACAATCTATAGTCATGCCACTGGCTTGCAAATAGAAGGGGATCACCCATTGCTGCCGTATCCAGCTATTACATTGGTAGGCTGTCACACAACAGCAGCAGCAGAGGCCATGGATAGGGAAATCCACAGCGGTTTATTTATCAAAGTCAAGAAGGACCGTTTGTCAACCACAACTGGCAATCATGGGCGCCAATGGGGTCTGATCAAATCTCGCATTTTCACTTACATGACGTTTACAGCGATGGCACAGCCAGACGTGACGAGCATGGCTGTCCCCTCGATCTCAAAGTCTTTGTAGATGAGCCTCAGGGAGGCCAGGTAGACCAGGACTCCCGTCACCACCCAGATCGTCAGCACCGACAGCAGGGCTCCAAGGATCTCTGGCATTCCAAAGCACACAGGGGCGCACTCAGGGAATTGAACTCTGGACGTACAAAAGGGTTAACTTTTTTTTTAGGAAAACAAATGCGACACAAAATGAAACTGCTATGCTCATCTTTTATTTTGTGTTTTTGAGACAGATTGTCAATTAGAATTCTAGATTTGAAGCTTTCGTGACTGCAAAGATTCATACTCTTAGTTTTTTCGGTAAAGTCACGTAGGTAAAAAATGAAATTAATATTAATAAAAATGCTGATACAGCAAATCTGACTGTGACGGTCCCACCTGATGACGGAGACTTGTGTTGCCTCTGAAACGTCGTGATTTTCATTCTTTTATTTTTATTAATTTTAATTTCATTTTTTACCTACGTGACTTTACCAAAAAAACAAAGAGTATGTCAATTAGAACCCCAACGCAGAGCAGTACATAATTTAAGTTCACCTGCCGTGTGTAGAAACGTTTCTCTGCAGCAGGATTGGTAGAAAAGTACAGGGCCCCCAGTGTGGCTAGATCAGGCCACTAGAAGAGATCTCAAAAGTGGTTCTGTCACACCCACTTGCAAAGGGCGATTCTCTAACGCGCAAAATGACGCTGTAGTTCCAGAGATGATGTTTTGTTCATTTCATGATATTATATCAGTATCGAAGCCTGGACTAAATTGTGGGAAAATGTTTGTGTTTTTATATAGATGTATTAATCATAATAGAGGTGTTTTTGGGTTAGATCGCATATAAATGTGTCGTTAACCCGCCACCACCCGACACAGCCAATTGGTAAGGTTTGTCATGTAAATTACATCCAGCATCATCGGGTGTTTTTGCTAGAATTCGACGTAATAACCAGCGAAACGTCGTACTCAGATGGTAAATGTTGTTGATTTACTCTCCAACACACCGGTGGGCTGATGTAGTAACTAATTGCCACATTTTATTTAAGTGACAAACCTTACTGGTTGGCTTGTCGGGTGGCGGTGAGATAACAACACATTTATACAGACGCGATGTCACCCAAAAAAAGTACCTTTATTACGAATAATAATATTGGTCGCGAAAGCCTACGTGTCAAACGATACGTGTATTTGATAAACACAGGGAAAAAAAGCCTTCAGTACCAGCCCTGTACCATCCGAAGTTCATGGTCTTGGTGGGGGGGCGTGACGACACCCACAGGGAGAAGAGGCTGATGGAGAAGCTGGCAAAGTCGGCAAAGAGGTGTGCCGCGTCCGTCATGATGGCCAAGCTGTGCGCCAGGAAGCCTCCTGAAGCACATCACACGCCCGTCCTTGAGCCCAACGTTGGCTCATCAGTGACACGCAGGGTGGGAAATGCCAACAATTATTTTCTTGATTTTTTTTGCCCTTCTATCTGGCAACAAAACTGACACCTTTTTTACAAGGAGTCATGTTTGCATTGACCACAATACCTGCAGTCATAATGCAAACAAAAAACATAACTCTGATAATGTATGCACTGTCCTTAAAGTTGATTGGTCCACACCCGAGACAGCTTTCCTTAGAGCCTAGTCTCACATGGTTTTGGACTAGATGACGCCAAAACGCGCACTAAAAAAAAGGTGTCAGGTTTGTTGCCAGATAGAAGGGTAAAAATTTTTTCATATTTTGCTACTGGCAAAGGAGGTTCCAATGGTGTAAATTATTTTCTTGATTTTTTTTGCCATTACGGATTACAAATATTTATGATAACCAAGCGAGCGCAGCCATAGTGGCTCTCTACGTGAACAAATATTGTAAAATACAGGGTGCGTGCCGTAGTATGTTGGAAAGAGAATGCTGTATCTCTTTTTGGGGTGGGGAAATCAAACTGACGTGAAATATGCACAGAAAATGAAAATATTAGCAAGTGTCGATTTAAAGCTTTCGTGACTGCAGGGATTAATCTTCTTGGTTGGACAGCATCCGAATTTCGGACGCTGTCTTTCCAACAGCCCTGTTCTTCACCTGAGGATGGCTGCTTGCATTGTGGCCGAAACGTCGTGAAAATTTAATTTTACTATGTTTTATTTTCATTATTATATTATTTCCCTTCTACGTGACTTTACCGAAAGAACCAAGAAGATTAGCAAGTGTGTCGATGAAACAGACCTATGTGGGGAGTAAAAAGTCAACACGTTGTGACTTAATCTCGAATTTAAGCTTTCGTGACTGCAGAAATTACTATACTGATTGGTTATTTCGGTAAAGTCACTTATGTAGAAATCAAATATAATTTAAATAAATCAAAAATAAAATACAATGTTGTGACTTGTGCTTGTGCGCCACTGCCACCAACGCAGGATCACCAAATAATTTGAACCAAGTGATTTGTTAAATCTGTTAAATAATTCAAATAATCAATTAACTTCTTACGTAGCCGACAGCATGTGTGTTTCATAAGCATGTTAGATGGTGTCCTTTTTTCAGGGATTTGTTGAGCGAACTGCAGATGACGTACTTTTATTGAATCTTTATTCATACAGTACTGGCAATAGAGTAACGTATAAAAACATTACATCAAAATGTAAAATACAATTATAACTTTGTGGGAACCCAATAATGCAATAACGTCATAGTGTTACATTTTACATTGTATCGTCAAAAAATATATATATCGTGGCTAGCCTTCCTGTACACAACCAGTTTTGAATTAATTCAGAAAAATAGCCGTGGGCATTTCGATAGTTACACATCATGGTACGTTTTCACAATTTGCAACAAGATGTTCGATTACATTTCATAAGGGGGATTATTTAGCACTTTTCCTATCACCCATTTCCTCTGGATGTTACCGCAGGGCGCATTACTATGCTGTGCAAACCTACGCTTTCAAAGGCATCCACTATTTTGCACTATTGGGTGCGTCGTTTCTCAAACTCCAGTCCTGATAGCTTACCATATTGCAGATAGTTTTGATTATCAAATCGTTTACATTTACATGCAAATCCAGACACTACATGTTTCACACACCTGATCGTTTTTTTTATGTTGGAAAGCTGCACCGCAAGGAGTCTCGAGGACTGGCATTTGAGAAACACAGCGTTCGTCCATTCTTCTTGTGTTTCCATTTCAATTCATATAACTACCGTAATATGATGTACAGTAAGAGTTGCAGTTTAATGTCCACATTTTGCTTGAAGTGAAATGCATTTCAGCAGCTAAATCCCTCAATGTGCAAATCAAAACGATACGATGTATCCCACGCAAGGTCGTGTTATGGATCGCATTAAATTTAACACCCGAGTCAGACCAAAGCAGCATTTATGGAGCAGAATAAGTGTGTGTGTAAATTCTGAAGGACAGCATGGCTTGTGATCTAAAGCGAGTCTTATCCAACTCCAGTCTTTGCACCTCCCCTCGCCTCATTTATAAATCAATGCATACTCGCAATGTGTCATAGCCTCATGCTTATTCAATACGGAACTTTTCAGAATGTGATCGAGTGGCCTGAACGCTGACAAGTGTGTAGCAACGCACGAGGGGACGCACGCGTATAATTCCAGTGAGACAGAAATAGGAGCACGTGGATCAGAATAATGTAGAATGTTAAGAAGAGTGGGCTAGGCTTCCTCTCCCCTAGAAATGCCACATTCCCGATTGTTGCCACTGCGTGAGTAGGTGGGGGGAGGGGGGGCAGTGAGCCCAATCACCAGTGCCGGATTAAGCTAATGCGGGGCCTGTAGCATATGTTATAAAGGGGCCCTAAATAAAAAAAAAACACGTAAATATAAAAACACAATTTTTTTCTTGCATAGTAAAGTAATTGCATATTTCATTTGCTATGCAGCCAGATAATGCGACAAATCGCTCACCTTAAACACCCGGTCGTTCATAAAAGTTGAAGGCAGTATAGTACTATAGTAATAGAGCAAGTGCAGACTCACTGAACCGGAATTTATAGCTTGAAAGCATTTAGCGCGGGGCCCTTGAAAGTGCGGGGCCCGTAGCTACTTTTGCTGCTAGGATAATTAATCGGGCACTGCCAATCACCCCTCCCTCTCCCCTGTCGCGTGGGCTCCTGGCGTCGGGTTTCTCGTCTTCCCATCCGTCGCTCGCGCTCTGTACTCGGGCTCTTGTTTAAACTATATATATAGTGGACGAGAGAAGAACACGTCACGAGTAGGGCTGATGGCCAGTGGGCAAGAGTAATTATGCGGAGTGGCAACCAAAGGTAGGAAAAACACACCCAAGAAGACATTCACCACGGAAATGAAGCAATTGGTGCTTTGCTAGACCATGCAAGATGGTGATGGCTCGGGGAAGATAACAGGGGTAGACTTTGTGGCGGTGTGAGCTCTTTTTCACAGATGTCTACTGGACGTCTGTGGAAAAGAGCTTCATAGCTCATCGGATTCCTCCAGTCGAACTAAATATTCTGATGCTAAATATATTCTGAGTGGCAGGAGCATTCTTCACAAACAACATTTCTGGGTTCACCGAATAAGGATGAATTACGGCACATTCCAGACGATGTGGCAGACTTCACAGGCTGCGTTAACAAAAATGCCAGAACGTGCGATGAATATTTCCGCACGAGTCGTTTCAGCAGCGGGACGTGACGAGTGAGAGAGGCCTCGGCTCCACTCTAACGCTCTCACCGAAAATCTCCCCGGCCATGAACAGGAGGCAGATCACGGCGGCGATGCAGAGTTTCCTACGAGCGTGCCTGCGCTCTCCCTCCGAGCGATCCGTGTTGCGCGCGTGGCAGTAGTGGCGGCCCCCAAACTCGTCCTCATCACCGCCACCTGTGCGCAGCGTCTCCAGGTGCAGTCCCTCCAAGCCCGGGTCCGATGCAGCTCGCCCCGACGGTTTGCTCCTGAACGCGCCGTTGAGCCCGCTTATTGGTGCTGGGCTGCAGGAGACACCCGATGCGCGGTCGTCTTCACTCGAAAATAAATTAATAAACATTTATTATCAAAACAAAAAAAAAATGTAATCAGGTAAGGCCCATTGAGCAATGTGGCTCTTTTTTCAGAAGCGACCTCGCTGTCACAAATGATAGCTCAACCAAGCCGCTTATCATGGGGAAATGTATTTGCAGCCAAATTCTCAAAACGCATGTTTCTAAATGTGGAGGGAAAAACCCGGAGGACCCGGAGAAAAATCCACACGACCACGAGGAGAACATGCAAATTCCAAATATATAGGCGCCAGGGTCGGGATCGAACCCACGACCTTCTGCATACCAGGCAAGCGAGGTAGTTAACATCTCGCCACCGAGGCATTATGGATAATATTTGTCATGAAAGCCTATGTGCCAAACCGGCTGCGGATCGTAGCCCTGCAAATGATGAATTCGTCTTAATGACCTCCCGCTTGATTGTGACCTCAACAAAGGTGGCATCAATGACTGCAAATCGTGTTGACCACTAAGTGCCACTGCTTCAGTGCGCGGATCACGCTGGGCTTTTCAAACAACTTCCCTCGCTTCTCTGCGCTTGCCGGTTCGCCAACGGACGGACACGCGTGCACAGTGAATTATTGCCATTTCACATCGAGCATCAGCCCAGCTCAATCGGCCACCAGTTAAACGTTACCCGTGCCATGCAAATGTGAAGCTTGCGCAATGCAGCGATCGTCGTCAACACCGTCATTTTTCTCTTACGCCCTTTAAACCACGGCTGAATTTCAATGCGTGTTATGCTCCGCTTCTTGCTAATGACCAAATTAACAAGTGTAATTTATCCTTTCTTTGCATCATTTGAAAATATTGTTGGAATGTTTAAATTATTGACTTGCTTTCCTGTAAGGTTCCACATTTGCCGACTCCAGATTTTGGCTGGGAAACGTGTGAAAAAGAGCTTCATAGCTCATCAGGTTGTTCCGGCTAAAATTAAACATTTGTCTATCTAACGAAGTGACATCAATTATTGAAATGTTTACAGGTAATGAAGTGCCATGGCCAGTGCACGATAGTGCTGGGCTTTTCAGACAACTTTCCTGGTCTATACTCCATGTCCACAATTCCGAGTTCAGCAATCAATGCGTGTGCAAGTAAATCATTGCCATTTCACATTAATCTTCAGACAAGTGAAAACCAGCAGACAGCTAAATACGCCCTATGTTTTGTAAATATGAATTGCTTACCCTGCGTCATCAATCAATACGTGTCCAGTACATTATTGCCATTACTGAAATCTGAAACTTCGTATCGGCTTTGTGTGATTTTATTTCTACAAAATATGTTTAAAAAACACAATCAACGATGTGTCATCAATCACATTTGTGCTGTTCAGGAAGCACCACATTTTATCTTCAAATTAAAACATCCAAAAATGTGCTGGATTTATAATTTATTTTCAAATAGACATTATATATTGTATTTATATGTGACCAGTTACTGGAATGACCTTAATTATCATTAGCTTATGTTTCATACGGTATTTTTTATCCATACGTGTGCATATAATGTAAATGTTAAACACATTGCCATGTCCGTAGGCAAACAACAATAACTACAAAGGTAAAATTATCACCTTTACATTTGTATGGACAATGCATTTAAAGAGAGGAGATGGAGCTGATTAAGGTTGTTTAATCTTATTGTGCTGCATTAAACATCATGGTTTTGGCCATTCCAGCAATCCACACACCACACCGTTAGCAATTGAATCTTATATTTCACCCTCACGATGCCATGATTCCACAAAAGGTGATGCTATCTCCGTGCACAATTTAACTTTAGATTTGCAGAGTTGTGCGTTGAAGTGGCACATGTACAGACCCGCTCATAAATTATATCGACAGTGGCAACTTAAAGCGAGTGGTTGCATTTAATGGTGCTGCAAATAGGTAACTTGCAATTTGAAGATATCATCTGCGTGCAGCCTATATATATTCTATACGGATCTATATCTATGGGGGAGCAGTGATGCAGTGGTTAGCGCACTGTGCTACGAATCTGGAAACTCTAACTAGATATCGGGCACACTGCTAACGTCAGTCCTTCACGTCACCCGCAGTGACCAGGTGGTGAAGTATAGTCAAACACCTCGCATGATCGACAAGGCGCAGGAAAAATCCTTTATTCAGCAGTGGCTTCACAAGGGCTGTGGATTTATAGGATCCTATACCCGTGACATCATCTCACCCTCTCCCACCGGGCAAGCAACACGCCCTCCAAATTGCCGCTCATCTATTCCAGATATATTGAACGAGTGGTGTAGCAGCCAATACGGTGGTGATGGTGTTGTCATTGTTGTTGTAAAAAATCGCTGCGCAAACATAAATAATGAGCATGAACCCATATCCAATTCATGGTTCGCAAAAAAAAAACATTCACTTATAGACATAGACTGCATTGCCGGGTGCTGCTGTGGTGCAGTGGTCAGCGCCCTACGCTACGAACCCAGCGAGACCTCAGTTGGATTACCGCCCACGGCTAAACTCATATTTGAACCAGTCCTGGCCTCCGCCCCCACTTCACCACCAAGCACCGACCAGCGTGGCGAGTTTGGGTCAAATAATGTCCATGACCGAAACATCGTAGGGAGACCTTCATCCAGCAGTGGCTTGACAAAGGGCTGTAAATGATGTGTTTCATATACATATTATTTATATGTTACTGTGTTCACCCGGGGTCTAGCAAGTTAATGTTAAATATGCAAAGCTATAAACACTTAAACGCCCGGGAGCTGTCTAAGGTACCCTGCATATTTAGATGAAAGAGTTGAATAAGAGGCTGCAGAAGATGGATCGGTGTACAGCGAGTATAACAGATGTTATACAGGCATTCGTTAATCCACTGCTGGATGAAACCTTCCCCATGGGGTTTGGTTGAACATACTTCAACCACTCTGGCCAGTACGAGTTGGTGAAGGAGGAGGATGGGGGAGGGGTCACCCAAAACCGCTTCCGATGCTACTCGCCACTGATGTTAGCTGTGGCCAGGAATCGAACTCTCGCTCGTGGGGTCTATTTCACAGCGCAATTAGCGCAGTGCAATAGCCCTCGCCAATGGCACGCGCAGTATTTGTTCTACAAGACCGTCTATGGTTCTTTCGGGTAAAGCCCTGTAGGTAGAAATAATAATAGATAACGACGTTTCGGACGCTTGTGTTGCGACCGAAACGTCGTGATCTATTATTTTGTCTACCTACGTGACTTTACCAAAAGAACCAAAGAGCATGGATTCCTGCAGTCACGAAAGCTTCAAATCAAGATTCGGACTGTCTAGGATTTCGATTTAAAGCTTTCGTGACTGCAGGGATTCATATTCTTGGTTCTTTCGGTAAAGTCACGTAGAAGAGAAATAATAAAATACTAATAATATAACATAATAAAATACAATTCTCACGACGTTTCGGCCACAATGCAAGCAGCCGTCCTCAGGTAAAGAACAGGTCTGTCGGAAAGACAGCGTCTGAATGAACACCACCAAGCTTGGCAGTGTAGACCTGTTCTTCACCTGAGGGCGGCTGCTTGCGTTGTGGCCGAAACGTCGTGAGAATTGTATTTTATTATGTTATATTATTATTTTATTACTTCCCTTCTACGTGACTTTACCGAAAGAACCAAGAAGATGTCTAGGATTTGCTTGCTTAGACAAATGCTGCTGGATAATATTGGTCCGGAAAGCCCGTATGCTGATTTTTTTTTTATTCCGGATATCAGAACGGAGGTCTATTTATCGTAAAACAAGATAATTAATTTACGACTTTATAAATAACGAACCCGTGTGCTGTGTATAAATAGCGTGAGCATTAAAAAAACATTAATTCATTGGCAATTAAACAATGTCTAATTGTTTCTACCACAACTAACGCAATGTTTAAGAAACTTACTCACCAGTAAGTGCTGTCTATAGCATATAGTGTATTATTTATTACATTTGTAATAAAAGGGACTCAGACACTTCTTGCTGACTCCGTGTCCTTTATTTGGGGTTCGCGTTCTCCTTCCCACACGGCACTCCTCCTGAGACTCTCTCCCTGGCAGCCCCACATCTGCCTTCGCTCCCGTAGCCTTCCACGCTCCTGCAGCTCCGCTGCAGGCTCTTGGTACAGCCCTCTGGCTGCTCCCCCAGCAGCTCCATCTCTGCTCCCTGTTCCTCCGTGCGTGGCGATCTCGCCACCTCCCAATGTCAGCCCTTCGTGGCCTCTATGGCTATCTCGCCATTTCCTACCTCAGCCCTTCGTGGCCTCTGTGGCTATCTCGCCATTTCCTACCTCAGCCCTTCGTGGCCTCTGTGGCTATCTCGCCACTTCCTACCTCAATCCTCCACTCTCTCTTCCACCCCGCTGGCTGGCGCCGTCATGAGCCCCTCAGCCACCAGGCTGAGGCACGGCGACCACCCAACGTGTTCACCACCCTTCACTCCCCCGACTGCCCCAGATAGCTTCCTGTCTCCCCGCTATAACTTCTCCCCCACGTCACCCTGACTCCTCCCTCTCGGATCGTCATATCCGCCCCGCCCATTTACGCCCGCATTACACATTGAATATAGCGATATCGTATACAGTGTATATTTTAAATAAAAAACGAATGTCTTTCGAACCGCGTTTTGCATTTAGTTTGTTGTCCTTCCCCAGCACCTCCGATTACCACAGTTGGCTACGTACGGTGCGAAAGAAGTTAAACATACGTACATACATACGTGCAAAAAGGCCAATAAAAAAACGAATCGGCCAGACATCCTTATTCGAGACCATGCTGCAGAGGAATTTCGACTCCAAGTTCCCAGCCAAGTCCAGGCTCAAGACCTTTTTCTTATCTTCAGTCTATGACTGACTGCCTCTTCTCTAGAATATATACTTACTTACTCTATATATTACTCTATATATTACTCTATATATTACGTCACACTGTTTCTATACGGCGTCTTGAAACGCGGTTGTATTTAAACGCTGTATA